TCTAAATAATAAACCCAAACCTAGACTCGAAACCCAAACCTTATACCCTAAACCCAAATTACAAACCCTAAACTCAATCGTAAACCTTAAACCCAAATCCTAAAACTTGGGTTAATGTTTATGTTGTTTCTTAAGTGTTTAAGGTTAGTGTTTAAAGTTTAAATTAAATTTGGGTTTAGGATATAGGATTTGGGTTTAGGGTTTAGAGTTTAGGATTTAGGTTTAAGGTTTATGGTTTGGGTTTAGGGTTTAGGGTTTAGGGTTTACAATTTGGATTTAGGGTCTAGGATTTGGCTTTAGGGTACATGGTTTACGGCTTAATATTTAGAATTTAGGGTTTAGGGTTTAGAATTTAGTTGTAGATTTAGGTTTTAGGGTTAATTTAGGGTATTGGGTTTAGTTAGCGCCTTTAGCGTCGTTAAAATTGGCGTTATTAATTTTTCTATTATTTTAGATTTATTTTCTTATAATATTTTTAATTAATAATGTAGTTGGCAATTTGATTGGTAATAAGAGGTGTTGTGAATTTAAAGGTTCTCTGGGGTGAACCTAAGTTTTGTTGAGAAAAAAACTCTTAGTCGTTTTGCCTTCTTCTTCAATTTAGATTTAGGTTTCCTCCATCAAACAAAACACTACAGATGTTATTCTTCCTACTTCTCAAATTAAATCCATGAACTTTTATCTTCTTCTACTATATATCTCCAAGTCTTATATGTAGTTTATGTGATACAACGAACCTTGCATCTCATTCAATTTACAGCTTTTCTTAATAGTAGCAGATTTTAACCAATCATCGAGCATGTCTTCATCTGCTGCTTCTGTTTCTCAATCCGTCTGCAACTCGACCTTTGATGCTCTCCCACTTAGTTGGATTTCTCAACTCATTGTCTCTCACCTCCTCAGCTTCTGGGATTCATCATCTCATCACCTTCCTCTTCCTTGATGAAAAGGTATTGTACTCTTTACTCTCTCACGAATCATATAATCCAACTCTGTCTGATGAAGCCTCAAAATCATGTCTGATTTTATTGTTCTGTCTTCATACCAATTAGACTAGGAAACATTTTTTCTTCTGTAAGAAACCTCTATCTGAATTCCACACAGCTAACAATTTTACTTTGCCACCACTATTTCTACAATCAAAGCGTTCATAAACAAGTGACTATACATACTGTCTTGGCTTGAAATTATCTTCAAAGGTATGTTAACCGAGAAACATGAATGATTCTTTTGGCCTTTTCAAAGTTCTGAGAAGATTAGACATAATCAGTTTTTTTTTTCCGTGATTCATGTTTTAGTATCTATCCTGAAGAGAAGAATCGTGTAGACTTGTATATCATGCTTCCTAGATACTTCAGGTGAGGAAAAAATGTCACTACTTGTTCTTCTAAAATTTTGTATTTGAAGCTTCCATGATTATAAATTTTTTTCCTTTTTGGCTCTTTGATTTCTGAAACAGTCTCTTTCCACCGAGATTACCAGGAATCGCTTCCACAAGCAAATTGGGAGTAGGAAGGTCAGGTATTTATGTTTTATGCTTCAAGTGTTGTTTTAGTGTCCTTACCATACATGGTCAAATTCTCAAAAAGTAGAATTCTTTGTATACCATAGGTGCACGCTATATATGAGCTTGATTCTCTGAAACTAGAATTCGATAGGAGAGTGGATGAACTGAATAAAGCCGAAGATGAATCCTTTTATGCTGGAAGAAGTTTCCCGGTTGTATCTTATAGTTCAGATACTGTTGTATGTCTTCCTGTCCACGGAGATTCATACTAGAGACCTCATACTAACGCTGGATCTGCAGCTGGCAAGGCCGACAACATCTCATGACACCTATAACGCTAATCTGACTTCATCTTCAAGTCGTACACCCGTTCACCAGCAATTCCAAAAGCTGTGAGTATTCTCCTTTTAAATGTAGTTGTTTGTCATTATTTCTGTTTATTGGGAAGCCAATCACCATAAGTTCTCTGATCATTTGGACACTCTGAGAAATAGGGTTTACCCTTATATGTCATTGATCTTCGTGCTTTGTCTCTGTCTGCTTCTGCAACCACAATAATTTTGGTGATGTTTGGGTCATTGACTCATAACTCATTTTACCATAAAGTTTGACATTCTATGGAAACTACTTCCAATATTAAGTTTTGCTTTATTATTTTCTGATGTCATCTATGACTTTTTTGTAGATACCATGGGACAACAAATTGCTGTCCATCAGTGGTCATACTAAGGATCCCTCAAAATCTACGCAAGGTAAGCGTTTACATACCTTCGAAGATGGTTATTTGTAAATATATTATAGGATTCTTCTGTGATCTTATATTTGTAAATATATTATAGGATTTTCTGTGATCTTAATTGTTATAATCAGTTTTCTAATGTTTCCTTGTCACAGTGAAGGTCTTTGATACCCATACGCCCATACCTGTATATGGTCAATGTTGAAGAGATATGGAAACCACCTGTATCTTCGCGTCTCACATGTTATTTCAATATTTCACATTGGTTTCTTGAACTGAAACTTTGTTTGTTATTTTTTTCGTTTAGGTTTCAAGTGGAGGCCATTCAGTCACAGTTGTGGGTAAAACCTTGGTGATATTTGGTGGGCAAGATGCAAAGAGATCACTTCTGAACGATTTGCATGTACTTGATCAAGAAACTATGACCTGGGATGTGATAGATTCCATGTAAGATTCCTGGCGTGACAACTGGGAAGAACTGGTTTATCGTTGGAGGAGGTGATAACAAGAGTGATAGGCTAAGCATGTTTCCTTGGAGATTCTATCTTTTCAACTCTGGATTTTCTATTTATCACCCCGATTTCTTCCAAGTACCAAATTTCAGTCTAAAACAACATATATATCTTTCCAAGTGCATGTTACTATTATATGCCCTGCAAGGTTTGTCTTCATACGGTGGCAGTAGTATGTGTGTAATGAACGTAATATGTGAATTTATGAGTATTATTATGAGTTTATATTCACAACCAATTTGCTCACATCTAATTTTGTGCTTCTACTTTATCCACTAAAACCATACATTATATGGTTTTCCTTCATCATGAAACTTTTATTCTATCTAAGCGATTACTTTCTTCTAAGCCACTATATATATACTAAGCAAAACACTTTACTTCACCTCTTATAACATTTTAAAACTACAACAACACATATATTTATATTAATAGGTTCTTGTGATGTTTGAATTTTAATAAAATTGGGTTGTTGGGATTGTTGTAGATAAATCAGGAAGCAATAACATAATCTACCAATAATAATGTCTAGCATTTCTTTTAGTTGAGAGATTAAATAACATTAGACAAGAGTATCGAAATTTTTGTCATCTTACTAGAAGTTAATTGGTTGTGACGGTAGATAATTTACACATCAAAAATTAGTTAAAATCCATATATATAAACCAATCAAACTTTTTTTCTTTTAAATAATTTACAGCAAAAAAAAATCTAAATAAATAAAAAAGACTTTAGAAAGCTTTATTTCCACAACAAAAAAAAACTATGTTTTACAAAATCTACACCAAAAAAATCTACTATTTAAATCCTACAATGAAAAACATAAAACTACAGTCTATTACAATCGGTTATGACTATTCGTTTCTGGTAGAGATCTAAGTAATTTATTTCTACAACAATTAAATACTTTATTTTTATAAATAATTATCTAAAGTAACAATAAAATAAAGATATCCAAAACTAGTCGGAACTAAAAACCGAACAATACAAATATTATCTAAAACTAAAACATTACACTTCCAATGTACTAAAGACGAGATTAACGTCAATAAAAAAACATGTGTCTCTCTCCGGTATAGAAGCTTTCTAATCTAATAACATACAAAGGTGATAGAGAAGAGAAAATCAAAGAAAACATACACCAAAACTAGCCGAAACTAAATTCGAACAAATCAAAAACAAAGAGAACCGATCATCTAGATACAAGACTGGTGACAAAAGACCGGTCACTGATCTTAAAAATTGATATCGGGAAGTTTCTAGTGAGAAAAAAGAGAAACGAACGATAGAAAGATAATTTTCTAATATACATATAGTAAGAACTTTGTAAATTAAAATATTGAGACTATGATAACTTATTAGTTTATAAATTTATTAATTTATTTTTGAACGATTTTTATTTCAAAAATATTTATTAAAAATATTATATATATATATTATTTAAGCTTTATAGATTTGAATTTATTTTATTTTAGTTAGATTATTTGATATATTTTATGTATGTTAAATATGTATGCTAAAATAAAATTTTATTTTATATTTAATTAGATTAAAGTCTCAAAATATTTAAATGAAAAATAAAATTAAAGATGAAATTCATTTTGAATACAAACAAACAATCAAATGCTTTCTTTATGTTTATATATAATTTAAAATATATGGTAATTATTAACTTATGATTTTAGTAGGAATATATATTTAATTATGAGTTTTCTAAATATTAATATCTTATTATCCTATTGAATTATGATAAAATCAGAGCTATCATGCAAAGTTTGCTGATCTGAGACAAAGAGACCAAAACAAATAGAACCTTCCCCATTTATCTTAATCATACGTTTACATACAACGCTGTGATTTTGCCACGTGTTTTCGCTCGTAAGCATTAACTATTAGGGTTAACAAAGATGGTTTAGTCTCATGTTTTTTGTTCGTTTGGTCAGAGCTTTTTTGTTTGTTAACAAGCGTTATAAAAAGGATTATACACTTTTATTTTTGTCAACACAATAAGCTGTTCTAATTTCTTCTTTTTTCTCCGTATATCATCAAGAAAAGACACGTATTTAGATTGATGATCGAAGGGCGGCACCGAATCACTTTGACTTGACTTTGCTTATACCACATGTATACTTATATACACATATTTCTGAAAGCACTTATTTTCTGTGTAATCAAGTTCTCAAAGCTATTAGCTCCTTTGTCTCTGTTTCTAGCCTTCTCAGCGTATAACATTTTAAAAGAGATGGGAAAATCTTTAAGCTCGGAGGAAAGTGAAGTGAAGAAAGGGCCATGGACACCAGAGGAAGACGAGAAGCTCGTCAGCTATATTCAGATGCACGGTCCTGGTAAATGGCGAACCCTTCCCAAGAACGCCGGTAAGTTCCTTTGCCCCTATACATAATACATTAGTATATTATATATATCCACATACGCACAAGCCCTAGCTAATCCCATTAGACTATGATTGTGTTATTTTGTTTAATTTTTATTCCCGTTTGGGGTTTAAAATTTACGAATAGTTATTAGCATTCTATATCATGGAACTATGGAAGTGTAATGTGCATATTAACATACTTGCAAACCGCAGTTAAATTCCTATAAGCTGCGATTGTTTTCTCGCGTTGTATGTTTTTTTTTTTATGTTTAGATTGATACTTGTTTTAATAGTTACTAATAGTTATAATTAGCATGTTATATCGTGTAAATGACAATTTCAGTGTCTAACATTTAAAACAATCATAAATCTTGAAAAGGGTTAAAAAGATGCGGAAAGAGTTGTAGATTGCGATGGACGAACTATCTAAGACCTGATATCAAGAGAGGAGAGTTCTCACATCAAGAGGAAGAGACTATCATTCAACTCCATCGTCTTCTTGGAAACAAGTTAGTCTTTCTTTAACTTCTTTTCTTTGTGGTTTTGGTTTATAACTGTTACATGATTTTGTATGTGTAAATATTGATAAAATTAATCAAGTGACCTAGAATTCCACTACTACACCTACTTTATTGGACTTACCTGTCTTTATACTATTTCGAAGAATACTAGTTGCATATTGTATGTAATTCAACTAAAAGACAAGACCCTAAGTACTATACCGAAGTCAAATTTCTAAAGCTAAGCTTGCGCCTGCGATGTTCAACTCTTCATAATATCGTAGCAAGTCAAAAACATTTTGCTTGTCACTTCATTTTAGTTTTAAAATCTAACTTGGTTTTCTCCTTTATGTATAGATGGTCCGCCATTGCCATTCACTTGCCAGGAAGAACAGATAACGAGATAAAAAATTATTGGAACACACATATAAAGAAGAAACTCTTAAGAATGGGGATTGATCCGGTAACTCATTGTCCCCGGATCAATCTTCTTCAGCTTTCCTCGTTTCTCACCTCATCCTTCTTCAAATCTATGTCACAATCGATGAATACTCCATTTGATCTCACTACTTCAAGTTTCGATCCCGAAATCTTGAATCACATTACTGGTTCTCTCAACAATGTTGAAACCGAATCATACCAACCAAACCAACATCTTCAAAACGACTCCCAAACCAGTTTCACCGGTTTTCTCAACTCCACACCCCCAATTCATTGGCAAAATAATGGAGAATACTGGCAAAATTATCTCAATTGCACCGGTTCAGGTGACCAATCTTTCAACCAGGTCCATCTAACCGGAAACTACTCATCGGCCGCATTTGCATCAGATGAAATTAATGACGATGAATATTTTAAGGCCGGGTGGAATTCGAGTTCATCAATGCTACCGGGAACTTCGTCAAGCAGCTCGACGCCATTGAATTCATCTTCCACGGTTTTTATCAATGGTGGAAGTGAGGATGATAAGGTGAGTTAAGGGAGCGACATGTTGATGAAACATCAACATCATGTCATAGTGATAATGGTTTGAATCTATCATAATGTTATTTCTTCCTGGAAAGTGTCTGTCTTTTTATCTTGTAATCCCTTCTCCTTTATCACCAGCGGTCAAAACCTCTTTTCAAGTTCTCAGTAATACAAAATCATAATATGTATACAGAATTTCAGTTAAATAATAAATTTTGGATGTCTTTTTAAGAAAGTAACTAATGAAAGATAGCCATGTGGATTTTGGGGTATGAAGCGAGGTTCTCTGCCGTTGGGTTTAGAGATCAAGTTACAGTAAATCTCTTTAATTTAATAATGTTTGGACTTTGAAATTTTATTAATTTATAGAGATATTAATTTATGAAAGTTTCTTTATTTAGATTTTTTTTATTTTACTTTTTTCCATTTTTATTTATAAAAAAAAATATTTGATTTTAGCATATGTACATTATTTAAATTTTAGAAATTTGACTTTTGTATTGTTTTATTATCTTATTTGGTGTATATTTTTATGTTTCATAGAATTGTTACATGGTTCTCGATATAATTTAACTAATTATTATCAAAATATATTGAAATGTTTAAAAAAATAAAAGTATTTTTATAAATATAAAACCCCTAACTAAATATTATCAAAATATATTGAAATGATTAAAAAAATAAAATTATTTTTATAGTAAACATAAAACAAACAATTAATGTTAGATTGTACTTATATAAAATTATATATAGCTAGATTATTAATTTATGATTTTAGTGAGATCATATATTTACATGACAGTTTTAAAAATATAATTATCTTATTATTTTATCGATGTCGTATTTTCCACCGGCCCAAGTTGGGACCGATAAAATTTATTAATTTATAGAGATAATTAATTTATCGAATATTAATTTATAGAGGTTCTGCTGTATATTCTTTTTCTTCCTTTTGCATTAGTTTTAATATTTAATGGATGTGATACTTGTCCAGAAACCAGCGTTGGAATTGCCTTTATGGATGAATGAATTTGACCATATATATATATCTTATTTCTTCTTTTTTCAATAAAATATATATTTAATCATCCCAAAAAATGGACGTCAAAATAGTTAAAGAATCCGGCTAACCGGAGAAACGGCTAAGTTACATGCACATGACTAAGAAACAATAAACTGATTAGAACAAACAAGAGAATAGGTTGAGGGAAAGAAGACACTAGTAACGCAAAGCTACCCATTCCGGTGAACACGGATCTCGACTCTGATCTCGACTCCTCAAATCATTCACCGATGCAAAAGTTTGAGGTCTCACATACCTCTTCTCACTAGAGCGTAGTAGAGAGACATCCGGAACAACAAGAAGCAACCAATGGAAACCGTCATCCCAAATCGATAGATCCGCTGTCACCGAGTAACATCTCTACCATCAAAGACAGCTCTTTCACCGATGACTGAGTTGCGGTGTCCGGTGGGCTCACCATCCTCCTCTAACGGAAGCACACACCATATCACCGATGAGGCACCAAAGCATAGAGCCTCCTAAGGGTCCACCGGGTCAAAGGACCTTTTTGATTTGCAACAAGTAAAGAGAGAATACCTCCAGAAACTCATTGTAAAGGAACTATTCGTCTTGTAGCCCCAGATCCGGTTGGGGAAGACCTTAACAACCACGAACGGAGCTGCATGAAGTAGCAAAAACTGCGATTAGGGTTGAGAGAGAACAATGAAAGTAGTTATCTATTCTTCTTAATCTTACTTGTTTTTGTTTTTCTATTGATGTGAGTTTGTAATTGTGTCACATACACTAAAGTTTAATCTATTATTGTCTGCATTTGTTATGTTCTTTTCTTCTAATAGCTTATAAAAAAATAAAAAATAAAATTGGAAGAACTTTCCACTTGTTCACATGCCAAAGGCCAGAAGATGTTTTGACAAATATCTAAGTGTCTTATTAGAACATCTCCATCTCCACTCTATATTTTACTGCAAAATAAAGTAGGAAATAGAATAATGAAAAACAAAAAAAAATCACTCTATAAATGGAATAATAATTTTTTGTTTGTTTATTACTTCATTTCCCACTTCATTTTGCAGTAAAATATGAAGTAGAGTTGGAGATTCTCTTACGAATGTAATAGTTTAGTGTGTCTTAGTATCTACGCTAGAAGACTTATTTGAATGAAATAGTCAACTCCCCCGATCACAGAAGCCCGATGATCAGCCTTTTGCATGGTAATGACCCTTGAGCTTGCTTCGCTCATGATATACTCTGACAACTGAACGCTCGTCGGAGCCATCAACGACAACCACCAGAAGAAGAAAATCATCGGAATAGTTCGTGATATATGTTCGATCTCTTATGTGTTTGCAAAAAAAATCTTTATTTCATTTCTCTTGAGTGGAAAATCTGAAACTGACTCTATGACAAAGAGAATCCTTCATACCTCTATTCATGTAATGGATTTTTAGGTGGGTCATTTTTTCGGGGCTTTTTATTGAAATTTAGTTGTGCACAAAAAAAAAAGAAACAATAAAGATATAAATTGTAAGTGGTTAGGCGGATGTACTGAAACTATGATTTTCAACGGTTTTGAGATTGTTTTAAAATACTATGTATTTAACTAAGGCTTTTAAAAAACTCTTATCAAATCATATGTTTTGAACATGAAGTTTATATAAAATCATTACAAAGACTTGCAAATCTCATGTTATTCAATTAGATTTACAAAATTTATATTAAATCCATTGTTAGTGAAAGGTAAACATTATTTTGAAAGAAAAAGCTATGAATGTGATTTTGGGATATTTTGCATTCAATCCAGTTACAAAAATGTCAACATAAAACTTTTACTTCTACAAGTGTTATTTGGAGATACTTCAAAATAAAAATAAACAACAACATATATTTAACAATGAACAAGAAATTATATACAAAAGACAACTGACAGCTACTCTGCATCTATCTACCCTTGAGACTACAGTTCAAACGCGTATGACTTGCATCCTTGTCTCTCTGTAACTTCATTGACAAGTACAAAATCCAAACCCAGAACACCTATGATCACTACATCCATGGAAATCCTCTCAAACCCCGTAAAGCTTTTTACCTTTATTAACCACTAGCTACTTTGTTTATCAACTTCTTCCTCTGCTTTTCTCTCGCCATGGCTGCTGACGAAGACGACATAAGATGCTTACGAGGAATTCAGACCTCTGTCACCGACCCTCAGGGAGTTTTCAAATCATGGAACTTTGCAAACACAGCTATCGGGTTCCTCTGTAACTTCATCGACGTGTCTTGCTGGAACAATCAAGAGAATAGAGTCATCAGTATTGAGTTTCGAGACATAGGTTAATCTGGTCGGATCCTAGAGTCTCTTCAGTATTGTGGTAGCTTACATAAGCTCAGTCTATCTAGCAATCAACTGTCTGGTAACATATCTCCAAATCTTGTAAGTGCAAGATGCAAACACAATAGTAATGCAGAAAGTAAACCAGAGACAATATGCAAGTACAAGCAACACCAATTCTTTATTAGAAATCACCTTTAAACAATCTATTACAAGACTTGCTAATCAGTTTCACATAGTTTGTTAACACCCTAACAGCTGCTACTGAAGGATTCCTAATTTACCCAACTTTGTCTCTCTTCCATCAAGTACTTCAGCCACTGCTTCAGCATGAGCCAAGAACACTTCCAAGAGCTTCTCTATATCTCTATCAGATCAGCATCTGTGTCTCTGTCTCTCTACAGACGACCCCATAGCTATCTTATAGTTATTCTCCACGTTCCCTAAACCCTAATCTCCAAGAAACACAATATGGACATCTTCCTTAACATTAAGTGCAACTTTCTTTTTCTTGGAATGTCCTTATTCCTCTTCCTTAAGTCATAAACTTGCTTCCCAAGTTTATTCCTCTTGCCTTTTCTCCAAGATACACACTTTCTCTCCAAGTCTACAGGACTCCAGCTCAGCATCTTGACTCCACATGGTCTTCACCACTCAACACGTCGTCCGTGTCAGTAACTACGTCAGCGACTACTTCAGGGTAGACATCTTACATCAACAATATTCCCTTTTAGCTTTGTGTGCCGATCAAACAAAACATTCTTCTAGTTCAACAACCATGTTCCTCATCTGGAAATTTCCACGCTAATTGTGATTTTCTTCTCCCACGAAATGTGCACCAACTACTTCAGGACGTCCATCACCATGCTCTTCTCGCCCCCCCCCCCCATGAGATATGCACTCCTTGGACCAGAACATCACCACTTCTCCCTCTGCTTGATTGCATACTAAGCTAAAACACATATGCTTAGATGTCAAGCCTTCCATCACAGACACATCCTTTTGTCTCTTCATGTATAATCATGACACAGCCCCGCTGCAGCAGAATAACAAGTACTGCATCACGATCTGACGCACCTATCGAACTACCTCTCGACCCACTTCTGTTGAGGACTTGGCTTCCTTCATGCGTCGTCTCCTTGAACATGAGCCTGTCCTCATCCACACCGAGTGCACTCTGAACTCGTTGCTACTGTCTTGGAGTGATTTCACTATCACCCTCCTGAAGATCATCCCGCATCACTTCCCGATGTACTTCGATCTTCTTCCCCTTTGAACCACAAACAACTTTGTGTCCTGGATCCAAACTTGATTCTTCTTGATCAACTTCAAGATCACTCTCACTAGAGCTGCACCCTTCTTCTGATGTCTCTTCCTTGATCTCATTAAGTAAGCCACTCTTGGCTAAGAACACCTCTTCAACCCTCTTGGGTTTAATGAACGCCTTGTTCACCTTCTTGGCCATGTTTGCGCTTCTCACGTGCAAAACACTCCACCTTCTTGTGTCCAACCTTCCCACAGAACCAACAGCACATCTGATGTTGCTTCTTCTTGGGCTTGACACAATTGCTGATGCACCGATCAGTCTCCTTCCTTGTACCAAATGCACAACCATGCTTCAGAACCTCATGTCTAGCCTTCATGTTGTTGCACTGAT